GCCCCCACCCCATTTCCTACAAAAGATTCTCTCCCATCAGTAATCCTTCCAGTGACCAGAATGAAAGGCCGTGTACCTCCTGCCTTTGCCTTTTCTCGCTCGTTTTCTTCTTCTTCTCCTTCTTGGCCTTCTGCTTGGACCAAGCCTTGTTCTTCACGAACTTTCTCCTCCCTCCGTTCTCCACTCGCTCTCTGCTCTTCTGCTCCAGCAGCTTCTGCCTCTGCTTTTCTCGGCTTTTGTCTTTAAAGGGGATGGTGTCTGTGTCAATGTCCACGGGCACGAACTCGGGGAACTGCTTCCCCCTCAGCTCTGGCATCTTGGGCATCTTCAGCAGGGCAAAGCCTCGCGCCAGACGAGCAAAATCAAGATCTATGAAACCAGAAACAGCCAAGTCAGCACATCCACAGTAGGGGCCTGCAGAAAACTGTGTCAACAGGTAACAGGGTCTCCACATACTTCTGGAAGCCCCCTCGTACAAGGCAAGCAACAATGGACGATTCCTCAGTTTTCCTAACCAAAAGCTATTGTGGGTTTATTTCCATTACAATGGATGTGACCAGTGTGTGTAGTCTGCTAGAAAAAATGTCTTTGAAGTGTTTTGAACAACAAATTCTGAAGCATGCCTAGCCATTTTAAACTGAAGTGAAATTTGTGTAACAAAACTGAAGCCTAACATTTTCTACGGGATCGTTAAAACATAAAAGCCTACAATACCACATACAGGAGCGGAGATTTCGTTTACTGACACAAGCCCTGGAGGCGCTAGCTTCAAGGACAGCAGTTCAAAGCTGGGAGAAGGATGAGGCTTTCCATTCCCATAAAGAGTTACGGTTTCTGTCCCCTAGGGTCCCTGGATGGCAGTTTTGTGAGCGAGTTGAGGGAGCGGTGGGCTGGGCACTGGGCTGCTAACGGCTCTAAGGCCACCAGCAGTTCTGTGGGAAGAGGAAGAGGAGCTGCCTGCTCCCGTACAGACTGACAGTCTTAGACGCCCTGCGTAGATCGGGTCACTGTGAAAGGAGTCGACTCGCTGGTAGTGGTGTGGGATGGTGCATTAGGTCAAGCATCGAGCTGCTACCCAAATCGGGGGTTTCAGCCCACTAGCCACTCCGAGGGCTGTCTGCTCCTGGAGAGATGTGGAGTCTCGGTAACACGACAACCAGTCTATCCCACTGGGTGACTGAGTCAGCAAGGCAGCCACAGGAGCGGGAATCCCACTGAAGGAGAGCCAGCTCACCTTTCAGCCTGAAGATGAGGTTACACTCATGCTTCACGTACGCCTGGACATGGGACACGAAGGCTTTCATCCCCTTCTCAAACACGGCTCGGTCAGCCAGGGCCAGCGCCTGCAGCTTGGGGAGGACGTCCACCGTGTGGCCTTGAAGCCTCATTTCCTGCAGGGGGCACTGCATACACAGTCCACAACTCAAGCTCCAGGCCAGACTCACTGCCTACCCAAGGCTCCCTTACTCAGAAAACCAGAGGCAAAAACCCTGACCCTTCCAAATCCAAGTGTGAGCCCCAGAGCTCAGAGACAGCCCAACTGTTCTGACACACACCGATGCCCGCAAGGTGGAGGAGGTGGTGCTAAATTCAGCTCACGGCTTTTCACGAAGATGGCGCCGAAGGCTAAGAAGGAAGCTCCTGCCCCTCCCAAAATGGAAGCCAAAGCAAAGGCTTTAAAAGCCACGAAGGCCATGCTGAAAGGTGTCCACAGCTACAACAAAAAAGAAGATCCGCACGTCACCCGCCTTCTGGGGGCCCAAGACCCTGAGACTGAGAAGGCAGCCCAGATACCCCCGGAAGAGCGCCCCCCCCCAGGAGGAACAAGCTGGACCACTATGCCATCATCAAGTTCCCCTTGACCAGAGTCTGCCGTGAAGAAGATCGAAGAGAACAACCCACTTGTGTTCATTGTGGATGTCAAAGCCAACAAGCACCAGATCAAGCCGGCTGTGAAAAAGCTCTATGACATTGACGTAGCCAAGGTCAACACCCTGATCAGGCCTGACGGTGAGAAGACATGTTTGGCTCCCGACTGTGACGCTTTAGATGTTGCCAACAAAGTTGGAATCATCTAAAGTGAGCCCAGCTGGCTAATGCTAACTATAAACCTTTTCAATATAAAATAAATAAATCCAGCTCATCAAGGTGCAATCCAGTCATTTTAAGACCTTCAACCACCCAAAAATATAAAACTGCCGGGCTCCTCTGAAATGCCCGGGGCAGACCTGGTGAGCACACACCCCGGCCTTCACTGCCATTACGACTGCTCTTGAGCGAGCTCTATTATTCCAGGCAGAGTTTCACTAATGCTGAAAGCTGCTGCTCTAAGTAATCCTTTGAATTGGGAGTACAACAAAAGTGTTTTGGTTTTATTTTTTAAAAGGACATCTTAAAATCACATCTCACATGTCTGGTAGGTGAATATGGTAGGTGGGGTCCCTGGGCCTAAGCCCTACCCCTCAGCCAGGCCAAGCAGTGGCCACCACCCAGGTAGGGCTCCTTCAGCAAGAACCTCAGACCTGGCGAGACATGGCGCTGACATCACCAGCCTGCCCGGTGAGCAGCCACCCCTTCCCTGGCTTTGTGGCAGAGCTTCCTCAGCGACCCGGCCCCTGGGCACTCCACAGCCCCTGCTCACCTTCTGGTTAATGGCCAGGAAGCTGACGTAGGACTCTTCCATGGGGAGCAGGAAGACGAGGGCGCTGCCGCCATGGCCAATGCGGGCCGTGCGGCCACAGCGGTGCACGAAGGCGCTGTGGGCAGAAGGTCGTGGGAGATGAGGGCTGGGTGGGCACCGGCCCCAGACACCCCCTGCAGTTCCATCCTCGACTCGGCCCCTCCTGAGGCACAGCAGGGGTCCGATGCAAAGGAGAAGGGGCAGGGGAACAGGACAAATGGGAGCAGGAGCCCTGGGGCGGCGGGAAGAACGAGGCTGTCTTGCGAAGGCAGCAGCCAGTGTCACCCATTAAATGTCTTCATTGCTGAATGGGACACTCATCTGCTCTGTAAACTTTCACCTCACCCACGTTAGGAAAAACCCGAAGGGGAAACAAAATCCCTGCCCACCAGGTGTCTGTCGCTCTAGCTAGCCTCTGGGTGTGGAGGGCCGGCTGGCGCGAGTGCCTTACCTGGCACTGCTGGGAGGGTCGTACTGCAAAACCCAGTGGACCTCGGGGATGTCGATTCCCCGGGCCATCACGTCGGTGCACACCAAAATCCCACTGGAAAGCAGAAACCACCATTCTGAGCAGGAGGTCGAGGCTGCATCCATCCCACCATCTGTACCCATCTCCGCCACACCGGACTGCTCAGACCAAGGATGTATCGGGCACTGTGCGCCTCCAGGTGTTTGCCCACCTGCCCAGCGACCTGGAAGGTTGTTTAAGCACTGACTCCACCCACAAAACAAACACTCGGAAAACCGCACGGAAGGAAGGAGAAAGGATTATTTTTTAATTAGCATCTTCCAATTAGGATATACAAAACCATAATGGAGAATAAGCATTGGTGAAATGTTTCTTCCCCCGCTTGAGCAGCGGGACCTGGCAGAACCAGGGTTAAAGCGCTCGGCTGCAAACACAAGTCAGTGGTTCAAGCCAACCAGCAGCTCTGAGGGAGCAAGACAAGGCTGCCTGCTGTAGAGGTGACCCCTGGAATCGTACAGGACAGTTCAGCTCGGCCCTCGGGGTGCTGTGAGCAGGATTAACAGCCGTGAGTGTGATTCTGGCGGGGAGGACTCACTTTTCACCGAGTGTTTGAATGCAGTCCGTGGTCAGTGAGGACGGCAAACAGGAAGTGATTAGTTATGGGCACAAACAGAAAGGCATTCTGGTTGCTAAGAGACCAGAAGCTCACTACAATGGGGCTGGGCAACCTACAGAAAATGGCCCTCCCCACTAAGCGGATGCAATGCTTGCTTCCTGCCATTCATGCCGGTCACCCACGTCCTCCAAGCCCCCACTGGGCGAAGCCTGGGGCTCCTGGCGTGGCAACAACAGGTCAGATTTCTGTCCTTACATCACCTCAGCTGTGCACTGCAGCCCAGGGACAGGGAGCAGGAAGGAGTGGAGGCTCGGGCCCCACTCGGGAGATGTGGCATGCTTGTCAGACACCGGAGGGATGTGGGGCAGGCAGGGCAAGCATGCCGCGGTCCCCCCTCGACCCACCTTGGCAGCGAACGGAACTGCATGAAGATCTTGTTGCGCTTGTACTTCATCTTCCCATGAATGCACAGGATCCCCACGTTCCTCACCAGGGCCTCCAGCGCCCTCCCGTAGTACTCCACGCAGGCGCAGGTGCTGCAGGAGGGCAGGGCTGCGATCACGGCCACCGGAGGGCAGGCCCAAGAGCAGGCAATGCTGTCACCTTGGCCCCCCACTCTGGGGACCCCACGCCCAAAGGGACTGCTGCCACCCACAAGGGTTCAGCTGGCTGATTTTGAGAAGGGGATCGCCCTCAGAAGACAGGCCTCTCTTCTGAGTCTGTCTTCGTCTGGAAGTGCTGCTGAGACCAGCTCAGCCCCTGGCGGGTGGCTGCCTAGCTCTGGCACGTTTTTGTTTTGTTTTTCATTAATAAAGCAGAGAACATTAAAGCCTGGAGAAAATACACACTGGGTCAAGACCCGATTTGACCCAACTGTGATCAGAGGGAGCCACCCTGCCCTGTGCTCTGTATGGAGCAAGGCCTTCCCATCTCTGGTCCACAGACACGGGGTTCACCAGATGCTTAATCTGCAGGGAGACCCTGGTAATGGGTTTGCGCGTTCACTGTCGTCCCCAGCCTTCTGCACCAGGTGTTTAGCACAATGAACCTCTCACTTGGCCGCAAAGCAAAGAGACGGGAGGTGCCTCCGAGAAAGGCCTGCCTGGCAACCCCACCTCTGGAAACTCCTTAGTCACTGAAAACCGTCTGGATGCAGTTCCCACTCTGACACACGGGGGCGCCTGTGTGAACTGAGGCAGACTGGACAGTAACTCGATGGGGTGGAGCTGCCGAGGCTGAAAGCCATGTTATTTGCAGCCCAAAGCATTCCTGACAGACACATTCTGGGGAGAATTCAAACAACAAGGCCTCAAGTGGACCCCTCCCCAGGTCCCACCATCCCCCCAGGTCCAAAGGGCTTACCTGAAGAAGACCAGGTGTTTTTCTTGCTTATGATTCCGAAGAAAATGCACCAGCTGGTTAAATTTCTCGTCTGCCTTACACACCTACAAGATGAAGGCAATACAGTCAGGGTGCAGGATAGCACCCATGAAACACAACTTTCCTCCAGCTCTTTAATGATTCCTCCCCCCACTATCATGGCCCCAATTCTACCTTACAAATCGGAACAGACCAGAACATGGACACTGCTACAGATAAGAGCCCACAACACAGAGAATCCAGGATAGATAAACCCCTTAGGGCCAACAAGGAGAATAGTAGAGATACCAGGAGGATTGGGGGAGGGCAGGGGGAGAGAAGAGGTGAATTGACCACAAGGATCAACTTAGAACACCCTCCCAGGGGGACAAATAAAAGTGAGCAAGGGGTGACAGAGGACAATGTAAGATATGGAAAAAATATAACTTATCAAGGGTTCGTGAGGGAGGGCGGGCGGGGGAGGGAGAAGAAAGAAATGGGCACTGATATCAGGGGCTCAAGTGGGAAGAGAATGCTTTGAAAATGATAGCGGCATATGTGCAAATGTGCTTGACACACTGGAGGAATGTATGGATTGTGGTAAGAGATGTAAGAGCCCCAATGAAAGTATTAAAAAAAAAAAAAGATGAAGGCACTATTGACGATCAGCTCTATGCTGACAGCAACCCCGATGACCACTTTCAGATCCAGCTTTCAACAATGCAATAGCTAATCCTTCCTCAAGCAGGGCTTATTGCTGCTGCTGCTGCTGCTGCTGCTAGAAGCTGTCGAGCGACTTTACATGCCACGGAATAAGCACTCCCAGGCCTGGGCCAGCCTCTCCAGCCTGCTTCGCTTGCGCCCACTTTCGTAGCCACTGGTCAACTCATCTCGACGGTCTTCCTCATTTCCACTGACCCTCACTTCCCAAGTATGACGTTCTTCTCCAGAGGAGCGCAGGAGACATGACCGAAGTGTGGGAGACCCGTCATCTCCAGGGCTAAGGGCGAACTCTAATCAAATACTAATAAGCTCGTCCCAGCTCAAAACAGACGTCACCACCTCCTGCCGCCACTGAAAGTTCATGTGAGGCCATCGACCTCACTGTGCACAGGGACACCTGGTTTTCGGACCACCGACCTCTGTAGCACAGGCACCGAGGAGCCCCCAGGGCCACAAGCAAAGGTCCATCCGCGCTGCCAGCCCTGCGGCTGGGCCTTGTCAGGCGGTGAGATGAGCTGGGGTACTCCTGCCTGTCCCTGTCCGGCCCCGGGCCCCGGGCCAGTCCAGTGGCAGATGGGCAGGGGAATTATGAGAGAGCAGTGGCTGCACCACTGAAACCACGAGTTCCAGGAGTCCTCCCACTGCCTGGTGTGGAAGCACTGCACAGCGACACCTAGGGGGTTCCTGGTGGCTCAGGTGGGAGCAAAGCCCTCCTGTCTGCTTTTAGAAAACACTGTGCGGCGGTCTGACTCTGTCCCAGAGGGTCTCTACGAATGGGGCGGACTGGACAACATAAAACAACAGGCCTTACTGGTACCACCTCAGCCTTTCCCAGATGCAGATTGCAAAACAGGGCCGGGGCTGACAAACCAGGCCTGTCTTACCTGGCGTGGTCTCCTCCCCAGTCATCCTCTGAGTCTGGGTCACCTTTGCCTAGGACCTTCTTGGCCACTCGGGATGCACGGGGCCGACTGGGCCTGAAACTGCAGTGCTTGCCCAGGCCTGGCGGCCAGCGCGCCCGGTGCCTGTGTGCCAAGACAGCCAGAGGGCATCTACACGCCCACAGCAGGTCCTCTACATGCCCACAGCAGGTCCTCACGCATGCACAAGTGAGAGCACCCATGCCATGTGCCCGGGGCACTGTCCCAGAAGCACTGAAGCATGCCACCAGGAAGTAGTTCAGAATCACCAAGCCCACAGCACTCACGGTCTGTCCCGAATCCCTGAACGGTGGGTGGGGAGCCTGGGTGCTCACCATGTAGTAGTTGTCCAGGCGGGAGGGGGTTTTCTGGGTGCTGCTGGCTGCCACCCCCTTCTCCTTCACGGAGATGCGGACGGGGTTCCTCAGGCCTGCGCGCACCAGGCTTTCCACCTCTTGCGTCTGTGTGGCCGAGAAGAGGCCCGTCCTCCTCTGCTTCGGCAGGAGCTCCAGGATGGTGTTTATACTACAGAGAGGAGGCTGACTTAACCCTACTAACAGCGCCATCGACGGAAGGCACGGGGTGCCACTGGCTGCTAGCTGACTCCTCACCAAGGCGACCAGGGGCACAACCGAGTCAAATGCTGCTGCTCCCCTGGGCTGGTATAAAGCAACTGGGAATCAGAGGGTTTAAGAGCAGACTTCCACAAGTCGATTGACAGACCTCTGTTCCTAGTTTGAATCAGTCCAGAACGGGGGACTGGCAAAGTTACTTGGCCTACTGCCCCCTTTTCAGAAAAGAAAAAAATTTACTCAGCACACCACACCCAAATGAATAAGGTGTAGGTATCTGCATTTACTGCCCCCAGGTCATTCCAGCACCCGTCCCCAGGGGACAGTGTGGCCCTCTTTGAGAAACACTGGCCTCAAAGCTGATGAAACCTTCTCAGTATCACAGCAAGCCCCCATCGTCCCCTGACAGTTTGGGTGAGGGTCTCCCACACAGAAGATGGGAATTCTACCAGTGGTCACCAGTTTTCCTTCCCGATGCTTAAACAGGCCCTAAAAAAACTGGAAAGGAAGCCGCCAAACAGTTCCAGTCTTTAGTGGGAAGGGCAACTACGGGCCATAGGTTTCTTGTTTCTGTCTTGTATGTTTTTCTGAGATCTACATGATTGTGTTAATTATACTTCCTGCACGACAGCACAGGGGTTAATGCACTCAGCTACTGACCAAAGGGCAGGTGGTTCAAACCCACCCGCCACTCTGAGGAGGTGGGAGGAGGAGAAGGAGGAGGAGGAGGAGGCAGCAACTGGCTTCTGGAAGGATTTCCAGCTGCGGACGGCAGTAGGGCAGTCCTGCTCTGCTGTCCCCCCCATTGGGACCCATCACCCCAGTCAGGCTTGGCTCGGCTCGGGCTTTTGCAGCTGTTCTGACTCTGATGTGACGGAGCACGGTTAAACGGAGAGATTAAAAAACTTTGCTGAGACTAAGGCCACTGTGATGTATGGATTATTTCTCTCTCTTTTTCAATCGTTTGATTAGGGGCTCATACAACTCTTATCACAAGTATGGATTATTTCTCAATGAGAACCATCATTTTTTTAAAATTATTTTAAGGAACCAGGGGAAAATGTATTTTGAGAATCTCGGGGATTCAGAAAAGGAGAGATCCACCCACCAATTGCAGTGGCAGATCCCAATAACAGAATGTACCCTAAGCCAGAAAGAGGGGAGACAGACAGCCACTGCAGGGCCACCCAGCCACCTCCCAAGGACCAAAGCACACGTCCTGCTCTGGAGACGGTCATTCTACAAATAAGCACGGCTCAGAGAGAGAAGACAGGAAACAATCTAGTGCCCACCCATCGAGGGCCCCAGCTGAGTCAACAGCAGGTCTTTCCGATCGCAGCCCCGTGAGCACCCGTGGCTCTGTGCACACCAGCACGGGGTCGCAGGCAGGCGGTGGTGCGTAACGGGAGGCAGGTGTCTCAACAGGGCAAACGGCATGCCTGCATGTGTTTTAGAAAAATACAGGCTAACAGGATTACTTGGAAGTGTAATTAATATTCTTGCACGTAGAGAGTTCAGACAAATGACAGCTTTTTAAAACTGCCTGTAGAAGTTGAAATTCCCCAAGAGCCCAGGCCTCGCTGGGTCCCGTGAGGCGGGAGGAGTCGCTGAGACAACTATCTGGGTAAGCGTTTCGAACATAGCTGCCGAGGCCACTTTGACACAAGAACTGTGCCCTTCTAAGAGACACTGTGGTTACCCTACAGCATGGGGCAGCAGGAGGGGGGGCGGGCGCAGGAATGCATGGACAGCAGAGGGAGCTCACGCGAGTGAGACTGCCGGGTCGGACACCAGGATGCTGCGGGCACAATGGGGCAAGGACACAGGCACTGACGGGATGTGTGCAGCCTGTGGAAGAGGAGCCTGGTTTTCCTTTGTTTTCACCAACAATGGAGTGAAATATGACCCACAAAGGAACCCACTAAGTGAGAAAACCCACAACAACAGTGCTTCTGCAGAAGGGAGCCGGGGCCATGCATATAAGGGGCGTGAGACATTTGGGCAAACGGAGTTAAGACAATGGTATTCGCCCACGAACGTTTTGAAACTCCCTATAGAGCTTGTCCTTTGGGATCTCTGCCTGTGTTACTTGCTGGAGACTAGGAGACGGGTGCTGCCGTGGAATGTTAGAGGGATGCAGTGTCCCGGAGGCAGCAAGGGCCGATGGAAACCAAGTACCTGGCCTCAAACCCCATGTCCAGAAGTCGGTCCGCCTCATCCAGCACCAGGACGTCGAGGGATTTCACACAGCTGGCCAAATCCAAGCCCTCGGCCCTTCTCCGGAACATGTCCTCCAGGCGGCCTGGCGTGGCCACAATGATGTTCCCGCTGTGGGCAGAAAGGCCAAGTCATGCATGGTTCTCTGGGCCTTGAGAACATTCACAATACTCACCAACCTAGGCTGCGTGCCCTCACCCAATGTTTCTCTAACTCCCGGCTTTGCGGCGTCCATTTTCTAGTTCCCCAGGACTGCTCTCACGTGACAAGGGCAAGGCTGGGGCATTCTGAGGACTTCAGGGCTCACACAGCCAGCTAGAGGAGAGCAGGTGTCACCCCAAACACCTTTCTCCTCTGCCGGGAGGAGTTGGCTGAGGCTCTTAAGAGTCAGAGCCGGCACAGCAAGACCGAAGGTTGGCCTGTGGGAAGGTTTTATTGCAGCAGTTCTCAACCTGTGGGCCACGACCCCTTTGGAGATCGAAAGACCCTTTCACAGGGGTTGCCCAATTCATAACAGTAGCAAAATTAGTTATGAAGGAGCAACGAAAATAATTTTATGGTTGGTGGGGTCACCACATGAGGAACTGTATGAAAGGGTCTCAGCTTTAGGAAGGTTGAGAACCACTGTATTCTTGGGTTGCTGGCTCCCTGGGTCTGTGGGCCCTACAAACTGGGCTGCTAACCTCAAGGTCAGTAGTTCAAAACCACCAGCCGCCTTATGGGAGAAAGAAGGGACTTTCTACTCCTGTTCAGAGTTATGGCCTCAAAAACTCAAAGGGGCAGTTCGACCCTGTCCCACAAGGTCATTATGAGTCAGCACCAACTTGATGGCACTGAGTTTGATTTGGCTTTTGAGCAAGCAATTAAGTACTCTGAAACTAACCAAAAGGTTGGCAGATCCATCTACCCAAAGGCACCTGAGAATAAAAGCTTGGCCCCTGCCTCCGCCAGGCCACAGCCAGAAATCCCTATGAGCAGGGTCCGTGCTAGCACATGGGGGTTGCCATGTTGGTACAGACCCAGTGGCAACTAGTTTCTGTTTTTTGTTTACTTTTTGGGGAGTTACTGAAAGGGATCTTAGAGTCGGGCCTCGATGCTCATTTATTTCCTCTTGGGTTCATGGCCAAGAGCAAGGAGCCCTGGTAGCACAGTAGTTAAAGAGCGCAGCTGCTAACCATAAGGTGATCGGTTCAAACCCATCCTACGGGAGAAAGTCAGTGGGCCTTGGAAACCCCGGTGGAGCTCTGCTCTGTCCTGCAAGGCCACTATGCGGCAGCATCGACTCGAGTTCAGCTCAGCGCCAGACACAAACAAGCAGCAGCAGCCACCACACGTACCCTTGGGCCTTGAACCGCTGCACATCTTCTCCGGGGTTCCTGCCTCCAATCCAGAGGATCTGGCTGAAACAAGACCAATGGGTCGGAGAAAGCCCGGCACCTGCCGATGCCGTGGTTCACGAGAAGCCAGCCCGCAACTCACCTAAACTGTGGGAAGGGCTTCGTGAAGTGCGCCAGGACCTCATTGATCTGAATTGCCAGCTCCCGCGTGGGTGTGATGATGATGGCACCAACCTGCCCAGCGAAGGAAAGGGCAGATGCTCAAGCTGAGCCTGTGCCCCTCTCCTGCCCTCCATCCAAGGCTGCCAGAGGCACGGTGGCCACAGCACATCATCCCCAGGGCCAGCCCTCACGGGTCCTAGGCACCCTACTGCAGGCATGCCCACCACTGCACTGTATGACCCCAAACTACCCCTCTTGGCGTTGCCCAGAGCAGTGAGAAATGTGAGGGGCTCCACCCCCCACAGAGGGGGCACAGGGCCCTGCTCTGCCTTCTGGTTGGAGCTCTCAGACTGTACACAGGGGGCCTGGGCTCCACTCAGCTGTGCTTCCTGTCGGCGATTTCACAGCTCAGAAGGGTCCCCACTCGGAGTGCTACTTTCCTAAGTGCGTTGTATGTGGGGTTGCTTTGGGTCAGAACAACAAGTGGGTAGTGTGAGGTGTGCAGGGACTTTACAGGACCCACGACGACTGCAAATCACTGGCACTGTGTCCCTGCCCTCCTTTGTGACCGCGTCCTTGCTTCACTCCAAGTGCAGTGCAGATGGAGTGACAATGAACCCGCCGGTCCACTCACCTGGCTTTTCTTTAACTTCTCTTCCCTTCTCAGGAGAATTTCCAGGATAGGAATGACAAAGGCGAGGGTCTTGCCACTACCTGTGACCTGCAGAGGGAGACAGAGTTTGGGTCTGATTTTCCACAAAGGTCCTTTGGGACTTAGAGGGGCGGGGGAGTGAGGGGAAGGGACCACACAGGAGGACGGGGCCCCATCTCCACGAGGCACTCACTGCTTCTGCGGCGACGTCTTTGTTTTTCATGAACAGAGGGATGGTCGCAGACTGGAGGAAGAATGTAAAGCAGCCAGTGAGAGGCGGTCATGAGCCGACAAAACCCAAACCCACTGCCATCGAGTCGACGCCCAGAGGACAGAACAGAACTGCCCCCTAGAGTTTCCACACTGTGGATCCTTATGGGAGAAGACGCCCTCATCTTTCTCCCCCGGAGCAGCTGGTGGGTTTGAACCGTTGACCTAGTGAGTAGCTGACTCTACCTCCAGGACTCCTCATCAACCCACAAGTGAGGTCAAAAGTTCCAGGAATTTACTCAGGGTGGCTTTTGTGACCCCAGGGGACATCTGGCAATGGAAGTCTTTTAAGTTGTCAAAACCTGGAGTGTGGGTAAAACCAAGCCAACAAGCCCCCGGTCTTCAAGTCCCTTCCACCGTACACCAAGCCGAAAGGGACGGATGAGCGCCGCCCCAGAGGCCTTCCAAAGCTGTCGATCCTTTAAGTAGGCTTACCGTGGATGAGGTGAAGTCCACAGAGCAGGAACGACGTCTATCTTACATCCAACAACTCACACGCACCGTGTTTTCACTCGTTCACTGCAGTCCCCTCAGTGAACCATCCCTTGTCCATCCCACATTTGCCCTGTGTCTCCCATTTCCACTCCTCCTCCTTTCCTAGCCCCTGAACTCTGTCCTGGAGTAAAGTGGCAAGCCACTTTCGATCTTGAATGGTTGATTATTCTATCCTAAGGTTAGCTCGGTTCTAGACCTAAAGGGTGACTCAGGGCCACAGTCTTAAGGGGGCCAACCAGTCTCACCAGCAAGCCTGAACCCTTTTGTGTTTTTCTGGTTTTGTTCCACATTTTTCTCCCACCCTATCCAGGACCTTCCAAGTGGTCCTTTTCAGAGCAGCTGGTAGTGCCAGCTGGGCACCATTCAGTTCTCTTCTTAGGGTGGTGGAGACTGGTGTTTTGTGCAGTCCATTAGGCCCCAGGCTAATTGTTTCCATGTTTGTATGTTTTTTTAATTTTCATCATTCTTTCCTTCAGATGGGGAGGGACCAACAGTCAAGTTGACAGATGGCTGCTCAGATGCTTTTAGGAGCCCCAACACTATTTATGCAAGTGTGTTGAAAAACAAAGTCATCTTTGTGAACTCAGTTAAGTCCACTGACCTTGGTGTCCCCAGGGACTATGGTCCTGATCCCTCAGGCAACAGTAGCTGATTCCCTCAAGGTGTTTACTTAGGGCTAGGGGATTCTCAACACTTGTCCCCACCTTGCTCCACCATTCCCGGAAGTATTTGCAACAAAGGCAAACACACAGGTACAAATATCCCGTCACACCCACTCTCCGTTCCACACCTGTGTGTTTTTCAGGACCTCGCTCACATATCACTGTCACTGGAGGACTGTGCATAGAACAGGATTTTCCTCTGTTGTCTTGAACCCTTGCAAAACCTTCCCTTGTCTTCTCCTGCCTCCAACATTTTTTCCTAACTTCCCTACTAGATGTTGCCTTCCCCTCCACCCAAGTCAACACTTGTCTACCCTAAGCCCAGTGGTTCTCAACCTTCCTAATGCCTCGGCTCTTTCATACAGGTCCTCATGTGGTGGTGACCCCCAACCATGAAATTATTTTTGTTGCTACTTCATCACTGTCATTTTGCTGCTGTGATGAATCGGGCGACCCCTGTGAAAGGGTCGTTCGACCCCCAAAGGGGTCGCAATCCACAGCTTGAGAACCGCTGCTCCAGCCCATGGCTCCATCCACTTCTCCTCTACCTGCGTTGTTTGGAAGAACTCCAGAGAACAATCTGTGCCCAATCACACCGTTTCCTGTAGACCACAACTCATTGACACCTCCCTGTCACACCCCACCTTCCCTGCTAGCTTGCACCCTCTTGTCACTAAGTGTTACAGTTCCTTCCTTCACAACACCTGGCCCCCAGCTAAACTTCTCTAGTTCGAGAGAGTTTTCTCTCTCTTGCACTAGAATGTGAAGTCCGTGTCCATGAGCCACATATCATAGTCGCTAAAAAAATCCTCAGCATCTAGAAATGGACTTACAGATACACAGCCTGACCTTAATATACAGCAAGTGGGTAAATGAAGAAACCGAGCCAGGCCATGTCACCTGGCCCACCCAATCATAGAAACCACCACCCACTGCCATCCCGGAGATGCCAACCCATAGTGGCCCTGCAGGACAGAGAACTGCCTCACGGGATTCCCACAGCTGTCATCTTTACAGATGCCAACTGTCACATCTTCCTCCTGCAGAACTCCTGGTGAGTCCAACTGCCCGCCCATCGATGCTTCACCCACCGCGTCACCAGGGCTCCGCTGTCAGAGTGACTGCAGGCACTTTTACTAATATCAACCCCACCAGACAGGGAGTAACACGAAGCGAAGCACAGGGAGGTCTCCAGCCTCCAAGGGGTTGGGGCAGGATCTAGGCCAGTGCCCCCGTCTGCCTCCCCGAGCACCAAGCCGTTTTTTATGACCTGGAAGCCGGAGGCCGCGGGAAAAGGCCCGTGCTAGACAACGTCTAGTCCCATCACCCAGTCTGGGTCCCAAGAAGCGCAGCTTGCCCCGTCCAGAGTCTCCTTTGCCCCCACCCACTGGGGAGGCGCTCCAGGCGGGTACCTGCACCGGCGTCATGCAAGGGAAGCCCAGCTCCCGCAACGCACCCAGCACCCGCGGGTGCAGAGGCACCGGCAGCGACTCCCAGGACCCCTCCGTCACGTGCTCCATGGTGCGACCCGCCGCCGCCGCCGCTTTCCGGAAGTCTCCACAAAGGCACTTCCGCTTCCGGTAGCCAGCTGGGCCGCCCGGAAATCGTGCCGGAGCGGCAACGTTCCGGAGGGCCGGTAGGCGCCCAAAAAGCCTTGCAAGTGTCCGGAAGCTGGTGACACAGGAGACCGCGAATGGCGAGGACCAACGTGCCACTTTGCCTCCAGCGCCTTTCCAGACCGAGCAGGACTCTCGGCGGGAGGGCTTCGCGGGCCGGCTGGAATGGACATTAGTGGATACCCCTACCCCACCTTACAGATTTGCAAAGGGGTTCGGCTGGTAAACGTCCAATGCCTAGTACATAATAAACGTCCGCTTAATTCGGAGGACGTTGGGGTCGAGTCCTAAACAAGAGCGGCCATCACTAGCTTGCGACAATGGTTTGTCACGCCCCGCTTTGCCTTTCCACCGGACTGAACCAAATACCAATGAGTAAATTCCAACTCACAGCATCCCAGCTCCAAGACTGCAAATCCTTACATGACTAGAAAGCCTCACTCCCCTTTCCACCCAGACTGAACTAGAACCTACATCGACATCACTGGGCGCTCTGAAGGTACACTCTCAGCAGGGGTGGAACTGGAATGAACAGTTGGAAGCACTAGCTACTCAACTATTTTCTGCATGGACGGATAAGGACTCATGGCAACAGGGTACAGTAATCCCAAAGCAAAGTGACGGCTCAAACCCTGAAGCATAAGTTCCTCGAACAAGGGATCATCAAGTTTGGTCAAGGGGGCTGATCTCGGGTCCTCTCCAAGCCCTTTCCTCTCACACCAGGAAGCGGATTTGGAGCTTAAGGGCTTTGTGGAGATATGAACTAAAAGCACTTGGCACTGTGCGCCCACGTATCACAGCACTGAGTATTCTGTAATTCCTTCCATTACTAGCGGGTTTGAGTTAGGAGGGGGATAAGTTTCAAAAGGGAAGGCTCTAGTCTCTGGTTCCTACTCCACCTCGGGGCCTTGCAGGAAAATCAAGAAATTCTCGCATTCATAACCCAGGATATGGAGTAAACACTTCTTTTTCCAAAGGAAAACAGTACTTAAGGACTGCATTGCACAATCCAAGAAGGCACACAGGCAAATCTAAAAAGGTTCATCTGCTCACTACCCTCAAGGTCACAGATGTCAAAAGCTACAGACATCTGTAATGGGCACAATTATCCCCAAAAGCAAGGGCATGTCTCATCTCAAATATCAACAGAGCGCAAGTAACACAATTAAATCAATCATTAACACATAAAACACAGAACCTGCAGCTGTTTTTAAAAATAATTGTTTATTTACTGAACCTGGGGTATATTAGATACACAACCAATTGTAAATTTACATGTTAATTCAAATTTGAAGTGTTTTCACAAAAAAAAAAATTGGCATGCAACAGTTGTCTTGAGGTGGACAGTCACCTTATCAATGAACTGTTGCAAGTATTTCACCCAAGGTTGAAAAAATTGTTTATCTTGAACATGAAAACCTGTAACAAATTTAAATTAATTATATAAAACTCGTTACTTGTAGTTTTCCCCCTTGTAAAGATCCAAAAAAAAAAATGTACAAGTAACTAATATACATCAGTCACAACATAATCCTGGATCACCCCCACACCACAACCAGATGCTCCTGTAATTTTAAACCCATCATCAGAGACCAAGAGAAACACATTTCATTTTATATCAAACAAAATTCACATGTGCCAAAATGAAAGACCCAGGAGAAATAAAACCAGAAACCCAAGAACTGACACTAATGTTCAGTACCCTAATTAAACAGTGGCCCAAAATGCCGCTGACCAAAATAAAATAGTGGCTGTATATCATCGCAATGAAATCCAAGAGGCTGTAACCCTTTGGCATTAGAAATCCAGATCTTTCCAATTATGTGAGCCTACAATTTCTAGGTGCCAAGAACGGAGAATGTGGACAAGCCAGTACAAGGAAAACCAAAAAAGCTACCTTTCACCTCAACTCGCATCAGAGATGAGCTTGGACAAAGACTTCTCACGAAGTTTGGTAGGAACCAAAATGTGGTTACTAGCTGCTTGTCCATCAGTTTAAGTAGAGGTGATTGAGGCCTAAGGTTCAAGGTAAAAATTTTAGGGGGAGAGGGGTTTAGGGATGGAGAAATGTGTGTTTGGACTAATCTTATTTTAAAGCAAAAATAAGGTACAGAATATATCTAAAAGTGCCCAATCATGGTGACAGACTCCTAACTCAGGGAGCTCAGCCATTCAGCTGGAAGGCAAGTGTGGGGACTCAGCCTGTTGTTTCTTCTAAGAGCTCAACAAAAGCCATCCTAACTGTCCTGAGGCGCAGATGGCGGTGCAGTCAATTCTCAGGCTTGGTGCAGATGTCCTCGACAAAAGAAAAGGAGACCTAAGGAGGACACCACACCTACATTTCACTTCCAGTGCATGAGTTCTGCAAGGGCTTGGATAATGGAGGCAGAATTCAAGTAAGAAACGACGCCAACTTCCTAAAAAGGTGATCCCCCCACCCCGCTACTATCTATGAGTCACGAAAAACATGAGCTGTGAAATGGACAGTGCAGAGAAGGGAAACAGAGAGACTAACAACATTACTGTGACCAGGGCTTTTGGTCAACGGTGAGTTAGGAGTTTAGGATCATCAGGGGGAAAAAGGCTCTTTTTAAACAACCCTCCGGACTTCAAAAAATCTCTTCAGGTAGTAGATCTGTCCCAATGTCATGGCAACTAGAACGAGAGCTTCAAAGAAGGACCACAGGACCACTCTGCTGTTTGTGTTGTCGTTGACTGTGGAGGACAAATAAACAAACAGAATTTAACAACCAGAAAAATGCAAACAGCTATTACAAATTATCCCCTAGTCGTTATGGTGTGAGAGGAATTCTTCTCCACCTGATTCATACTACTTTAAATGTTGGTCTTGTCTTTTGATCCCAAGCAACTCAAAATACAGCATTCTGGGTTTAAAATCGACCTTACAAGGTCATGCACACTGGGCTTAAATACAGAGAACAGAGAGGAAAAGTTCCCAAGGCTACAGCTTAGGGTTGAAAAACAATTCAACCTTCTTCCTCCTTCACCACTGAAGTAATCTGTAATAATCCTTTCCTTTCTGCTGAATCAGAAAAGCGACTTAAAAGGGGGTTTATTTCGAAGTCACAGGGCTACCCAAAAAGCACTGTGGAATGGGCCCACGTCACTTTTTCCTTAAGCAGCTGGTTACCAATATTGACTGTACCTACTATGCTCTCAGCATCTGCTCTGAAGAGGAGAGGTTCCTCAGTTCCTACCGGAGTATCAACTTCAAGACGAACTTGTGACTACAGTCACCCAGGTCCCACTCTCAAGCTAAGGATCTGATTTGTAAACAGCCTTGTATTTACTGTCACGTTCTGTACAAATTTCTGATCAAATTCTACGGCTTTTACTTTTTGAACTAGTAGGTCTTTTATTAATAGTCTGCCAATGGCCATTATTAAAAACTACAATTAGCAAAAGTAACCATATGAACAGCTGAATAAGTAGCTATATGATATATATGCATATCGTAAGAAAAGGTATTACCTAGAATATTCCTCTCCACAGAGACTATGATCCCAAAGCAAAAGCAATTAGCATGTTTCTAAAGGGATAACTTAACAAGTTTTCCAAAAGCTGTGGTTTTCCCTCCAAGAGTAAGAACTGACACATGTGCAAGACTGACTCAAGTCGCATACAATCCCACACCACCAAATTCACTCGTGCTGAAGACTGAGGAGCCAGCTTGCAGCACAATGACAAATCACTACTCTTTTAAATTGTTATGTATCTAAGGAGAAAAGCTAAATAAATACACCAAAATATTAAGCAACTATTAAAAGATGCTGTAGAGACATGGAAAAATGTTTTTCTTAAAAGTCACTGAGAAAAACAGGATATGATATTTAATTGCTATCATTACTCACTAATGCAAAAATTCCTTATTTCAAGCAATTAAAAAAACAGCTTAGGGATGGGGAGAGAAAAATATTAACGGATTATTTTAGATGGTCGACTAACAGTGATTTTTACTTCCTCATTTTTGGGAGATAGGGGATTTTTCAAATTTTCTTACTGAGTGTATGTTAACTCTTTTTTCAAACTTAGGAATGATTACAACTAGGAAACACGCAGTCTCTTATTTGTGAATGTGAAAAGAAAACTTTTCTTTTTTATTAAAAACTGAAAAACATTTAAAAAACCTTTAAATAGATCGCACCAAAAGAAGGGAGCCACCTAGACAGTGAGTGTGACTGTTACCATCCTCAGGCCACTCACAGGCTCGCTGGATGTGGAATCAACACAGGACTACAACCTGCAGCTACAAAATCTCATCATGTTCCTCTCGGAAGCCTGTGCTGGAGAAAGAAGATGTACACAACCAAGCAACACTGAGGGAACCATTTGCTTCTTCCAAATTAAACTAAGTGTGAGGGAGTCTTACATCTATAAATTGCAAATACTTTTTTGTTTGTTTCAACTTATTTTATTTTTTTAATCATTTTACTAGGGGCTCATACAACTCTTATCACAATCCATACATACATCAATTGTGTAAAGCACATTTGTACATTCATTGCCCTCATCATGCTCAAAACATTTCCTCTCCACCTAAAATACTTTTTACGTGAGTGCTAAGAGCACTGTTCATGACACGAACAAGTACAGGAAGATCCTGGGCAAACTGAAGGCCATCAGCACACTGGAAGACTGGCACTTCCCACTCACTGCTCTGTTGCCAAGTCTGAACTAGTTAAAGCTACCCACAAGTGAGAGGCCTGACTGAGCCTCAGGTCTGGTTCAGTGTCCTCACCCACCAAGGGACCAGCCACCACCACCTGGGAACAAGGTAATCAAATGGGTGTCTGCCAAGAAAGGAGAGAAGGTGGAAGGAAGCAACAGGAAGGCAGCACAGGGGTACAGACACAGCCCTGACCTATCCAGGCCCTACCCCAGCTCCCCAAAGCAGGGTGGGCTCTTTCTTTACCGGTCTCCTTACTGAGTCTTCAACCAAGGAGAAGAGAAGCCTATGCCCTAGGACCTAGAGGCTCCTTGTCAGTGACAAGACTAGATGTCGCTGGGCAGAAGACCAAAAGCGCACCTGGAGACCTAAGACACCTCCTTATGTCTTTGAGCCGCGCTTGTCCCCAGCCCAACTCCTGAGCAGAAGCACTGTGCACCTGGAGATGGGCCTTGCTCCAAGGACGACGGCCAATCGACAATGTGTCATCTCCGAATTATCAATGCAAAATACGGAACACTGGGTCTGGGGAACACAAGCGAATGTGGACTCACACAGGATGCCAATCACCCGGGATGCCAATCACCCTTGTTTCCCTAGAAAATGACATTCCATATCCCCAAATTCCAGATGAGACCCCCACGGTGATCACGAGGTTTTTGGGGATTTTCTATCTAATCAGCCTATACCTTCCGACTCAGAGAAGCAAGCTAGGGCTCTGCTTACAAGAGAATTAACATCAGCACCTAGGTTTCGAAACAAGGCTGCCAAGATGGATGCCAAAGCCACAGCCGCTCTGTGCGAAGCGCTTCCCTTCAGCTGCAGACAAGCGGTGCCCCCCTTCTTCACGATGACCTCCCCTTTTTAAGACTCGGAAAAGCTTGTTAGGACTCTGAATGCCATTTTGTTAACTGTTTAGAATGAATTTCACAATAAACTGGTCTAGTAGATTCTAAAATTGATTGTGGTGATGTATACAACTCCTCTTAACACGACTGAACTAGTGAGTTGTATGATACTGAAATTTTAAGGCAATAAAATTGCTTTTAAAAAACGAAAAACTCAACAAGCCAAACTGGTCTAGTACTAAGCTCTACAGACGTGTGCACAACAAATGTCGCGGCTTAGGCGCTCTCCTGTGCCCACCCTGCTCAGATTCCTCTTTCCCTTCATGTGGGAAGACACGAGGACCCTCATTGCCCAGTTCAACACGCTTCACCTGTGCCACCTAGACACACGCTTCATCCACCACTGTGCAGCCCCCGCCAAGAGCGGCTGCCCAACCGGCCACCCTGCCTAGGGGCTTCTCTAAGTGAAGGCTTCAGTAAGATAGGTTCGAGTACTTCCCAAAAAGGAACAACATAAGCAAGCCCTGGGGTACCAGGGCCCCTCGCCCTCTGGTGCCCTGCCCACCCACTCACCCCGCCCCCACCTAGCTGCAAAGGTCCAGCTTTTACTCACTTGCTCTGTGGATTCTCTCTCGAACCTCCATGTACTCCTGCTCGTGCTTCACAGCTGTCATCGCCACTGCGAGCTCGTTGATCATTTCTTCTAGCTTGTTCTGGTGAGCTAGAGGAGTTTCACAACAGATGAGCATTTACTTGGCAGTCTTTTTATGGAAAATACCTCAGAGAAGGCATACAAAGCTGGTTTTAGAAATAGGCCCAACATCATTTGAACCACTCACACGATGGCAGTTTAACTCTCAAAGCCTCATTAAAAGTCTCTGCCCAGTAGAGAAACGTCTTTCCCCGTAGAAAATACACCAGGGGACATCCAAACATACATGGAAACTTGGGATTAAAATAGAACAGAATTTCTCCATGAGCTCTGTGAAGTCGCTGTAAATACTAAACAATACTCATTAACTACAGGAGGATAATTTGCCCTAAGAAGTGTCTTATAATGAAGTACCTGCTATTTTGATTGCTAACCAGAGAGAGGTAAAAACAGGGAAGGTGGGGATAAAGGGGAGCTGATATCTAGGCGTTCAAGAAAGAAAATGTTTTGAAACTGACTGTAGTAGCAATCATACAACACTGCTGAGGTGACTGAACTATGAAATGTTATGTTATCTGGAAGAGCTCCCAATAAAATGATTAAAAAATAAGTAAATAAAATCATATCCCACCCCCCACCCCCGAAAAAAAAGAACAGGGTGGGAGTATGAGGAGCAGCACAAATTCTATCATTTAAAAATGAAACAAAATTCCATAAACATCAAACAAAACAAAAATGAATCCTTCAGAACCCTGTAACTAGTGTTAACGTACAAGCAGCCCCAGCAGACCTTCAATCGCTGTGGGGTTTAGCGTGGAGGCAGTCTTGTGGAAAGCCACACCAGCGCTCTGTTCTACCCCAGGCAAAGCGCAAGAGCACCACGGTGGCAGAGGAAGAGCAGGCACTGGGAGGCCACAGACATGCTCTCAGCCGCATGGGCTTTCAACCAGCTATGCTGCCGGCAAAGTCAGAATGCAAGGTGTTCCACCAATATCAAAGACCTGGCACCTCTAGGCAGGACTGCAGGAAAATGATAAACTAAGCCAGTCAGGTTGGCCGAATCCCTGGCTAACCCCACTAGATGCAAGTGGCTAACCCCACTTGCATAAGCCTGCTCCCTGTCGCCTGGGGTGGAGAGGTGAGGGACATCACCCACAGATGAGAACCACTGCTGTAGAAGAAGGCTTGTCTGACAGCTTCCATTGAACCACATTCACAGGCAAAAGTCAGCACAGATACTGTGTGAAAGGACAGTCACATTTATCAGCCAACATAATTCAAACTAGACAGTCAATTTCCACAACACAAACAAACACAAAGCCCTTCAAAATGCCTAACTATGGGAAACAGAAAGGTTACTCCCCAGGTTGTGCCCCCATATCATATGCCAAACCTGAGGTGCTGCTTGCTAACACTTGGTAATGACCATACACTTGGGAGTTCACTGCTTAAAGGTTATCTGCAAAGGCCGAGACTTGGGTTCACACCAACTTCTAAAGTCAGGTCCTAATCTCACCCGAATCCTATCCATTAGTACAGTAGAAACAACTTCCCAAACGGGGTTATAATAAGGTGACCAGACGTCCCGATTTTTAACAATTTTTCCTGCGTCCCACAGTGTTTTTAAAAAGTCCCGATTTTTTGAAAGAATGCACGACAAGCTAGGGTATACGGTTTTCGTGTGCCATGTGGCTATTTCGCCAGGATATGAGTTTTATAAATGGTGTCCCGCTTTACCAATGTTGAAATCTGGTCACCTTAGGTTATAACCACAGGCTAGGGTCCAGAATTATAATGTACTATATAAGGAGTCTGGCAAGAGGGCCATTTTAACTGACTGACTACCGCTCATTTACTTACACCAGAAATGCTCTCAACAGAACTATCTATGTGCAATTTTACCATATTTGAGGGGATGCAATTATTATCTAGTATGGTCCAACATTTTTGAGGGGCCCCAAATTTGAGATCACCCAACAATCAGTTCCTATATCTATTGCTTTTTGGTGGCTATTGCAGAGAAAAGGAACGCTGGTGGCGTAGTGGTTATGTGCTGGGCTGCTAACTGAAAGGCCAGCAGTTCCAAACTACCAGCCGCTCTGTGGGGGAAAGATGGGCTTTTAACTCCTATAAAGAATTTCAGTCTTGGAAGCTCACAGGGGAAGTTCTACACTCCCTTCTGATAAGGATAGTGGATTGATCCCCTGAGCCCAAAGACAAGGTCAAGCCAACTCAGGGAGGACCAAGGCTAGGTTGCCATCTTGAACCTAGAGTCTGCCCATCTTGAACATGTATTCCCCTACTGCCTCCCCTTCCTATTGCATGGACACCCCCAGCATGTCCCCCTCCTGTTGCATATATGCCTATTGTACAACCCCTTCCTGTTACGATGTAATTAGGGGGGGTTGCACGCCCCTGAGTGTACATAAGCCTTGAATGGAAATACATTCACTCTCTCTGCGCGGATCCGGCTGCTGATATCATGGCCATCCCGGAGGTGAGCATTCACATGCCAACCACCCCTTAGACCCATTCAATTGTGGGGGCGGGTACCCCACACCTCACCTTTCTTGAGAACCAGCAAACCCTACATTGCAAAAGGCCTTGAAAATAAAAGGTGAGCTCAGGAATTAGTGAACAACATGAGTCTGGTAAGGTTTATAGATTACAAAACACGATGCACATGTTCACCATCTCTGCAGTCAGTGGAGTCCCTGGGCAGTACAAAGGGCTCCCGAGCGCACTGCTAACCAGAGGTTAGAAGCTCGAGTGTATCCAGGGTCACCTGGAAGAAAGGCCCTGTGTCTGACTTCCGAACACCCAGCCCATGAAAACCCCATGGAGCCTGGTTCTACTCTAACACACAGCGGGTCACACTAGCAGTTGGACTAACTGGACAGTAACTGCCACTGGATGTTACTACTCTCCTAGCTGCTTAGTATCTAGAACAAACGTGACCATGCTAAAACTATGTGCTGAACAAATCCTAGCCTCCAAAATTCCTGGCAATACAGTTAAGTGGAAAGCTACAAACATGTGCAGGCTGCTGGTGGGTTCAACTCCAGGTTCCCTGCTTGTCAGCTGACCAATAAAAACCACTCTAATGCAGCATACGGTAGGAGTTTTTATACATGGCTCCCAAAACTGTACTTCAAGTTCGAAAACTTTTTATAACAGCACAGCAAAACTTCAAAATAGGTTAAGACATTACTTGGCCAGTTACAGCTGAGCCCTTCCACCCTTCAGCATTCATTTTGGACCTGGGGGGTTAGCCACTGAACTGCTAACCATACAGTTGGTGGTTCAAATCCAACAGCAGCTTCTTGGAAGAGATAAACCGGCCATCTGTTCCTGTGAAGATTCAGTCTTGGGAATCCAATGCAGCGTTACAGCTTGGTTCTGGTTTTTAGCATTCCCGGTGCTATTCATGTCAAATTACCCAACTCATCTCTATTACCAGTCAAATTAAAAAGCACCAAAAACAACCATTCTGATTAATTGTAGGGGTTTTTTTTAAAGAGAAAAAACATTCTCATGCTAACAAACTGAGGTTAGAAAAAGAAAGCAGAAATTAGACAACAGCCAACAAACATATGCAAAAAGGCAAACGCTGTCCAACAGCTGTCCACATACCATCCCAGGTATCTCCACCACCTAAAGCGTAAGACAAATGAAATATCAACAAAAAGTTTGGCAAAACGAGTCATGCCTATGAATGAGTAAATAAAGACATGTAAGGGGGCTTCCAGAAATTAATGGGAAAGCTCCATTATCTTACAATTTCTTTTTGCCATGAACTTCTAGAAGCTTCCTCTTTAACAAGAGTAACAAATATACCCAACAGGATCATACATGTGTGTGTAACCTACATGTTGACAAGAACACAAATAACGCATAAAAGCTGCCAGAAGGGCACGAGGACAGAAAGAAAAAAAAACATCAATATAGAAAATATTTTCACTGTTCTTAATGATGAGATCTGAACAAATACTATGTACATAAAAAATGTACATTTTTTTGTTTTAAGGACAGTGAATGAACCTGTAGTAAGACATCAATACATCATATTCCATTCAGGAGGATTTTGAAAGAGTGTAGAATTGACCCGTGGTTGTAGGATATGGGGTGTGGGCTCAGCCTTCTGAATGTTCATCTCACCTTCTGTTTCCATGTCTTGTCCTTTCGGGGCCTCCCCAATGTCAATGGTGAACATCACTATCTTTGGAGTCATGGTGGACATCCTATTGCTAAAACAAAACTTGTATGTTCCATCCATGTGAGCAGCAAATGTGTATTTCCCACTGGACTCTCGGTCACCTTTGTAGATCCCTTTATTATCAGGCCCTGTGATCTAGAGGCAGAAGAGAAATGGGTAAGATGCCACAGAAAAAGGTAAAAACGTATACATCCTAAGTCTGGTCCACTGGCAACGGGAAAGCCACTGAGAAAATGTGATTTTCACTGTACTTCACCTCTGATGGCACTGCCAGTAAGCACTAGACTGCCTACCAAAAGGTCGGCAGTTAAAAACCACCAGCCACTGAGGAAGAAAGGTAAATGTGTTTTCTCATGTAAAGACTTACTGCCTCGGGATTGTTTTATCGGGTCACTAGGAGTCGGAATCAACTCACAGTAGTGGGTTTGGGTTTTCCACCTCAGTGAAGTGACGGCGACAGTTAACTTCCACGGAATGCACATCTCCCACAAGGAAGCAAGGGTGGGTTGGATGGCTCTGTAATGCACCTTTCAGCTCCAACTACATTTATTCCATCATCCCCTGACTGCATTTATTCTTCTAAGTTCAATGAGAAATCCCTCAGAAACTGAAGCCATGCCTTACACATGACCATCTCCAAGTGGCATCTCATCAATACAGATTCAATGCTGGTGTCTGTTCCAACTCATAGCAAACCTACAACACAGGGTAGAATCCCTTTTGCGCTTCCAAGACTTTAAACCTTTAGGAAGCGGACAGCCGCATTTTCCTTCTGTAGAGCAGCTGGTGGGTTCAAACCGCTGACTTTGTGGTGAGCAGCGCAGTGTGTAGCCCACTATTGCCACCAGGGCACCTGCCAAGTAGCCTCCTACCACAAACATACAAGCATGTAACAGGATGCTGTAACAAAATGAACTTCTGTTTAACAACCAGCAATTTGTTTTCTTGTTACAAAGTTTTCCAATGTACTGACAGCAAAGTAATCTGGGTTTCTGCGAGGCATAGACTACCCTCTGAGACCCCAAGTTCTCATCCACATCATTTCCTTTTATAACAGTTCCTGTCACCTATACCCCTGGAAGGCTTGAATCCCTGATCTCTAGGGTCTCAGCTAATTCTAATCGTCTCTCCTCCCGGGATCCAGGATTTTGGGACATAAAACATCATGGACGTTGTTCAAATATTCCCTAAATCGGGAAGAAATCCTTAACTAACAGGTGAAGGAAGTCTTCGACCTGGTTTCCTACCATGATTAGATGGGCAACTCATACTCTCAAAGACACCTTCGGGCCTGCGGGTTTCTCAGCCAGGGCAACCATCAGTCGCAAATGCCATGGCATGTTGTGCCACTCAGACCGGGCTACAACGAGGTGCCCGGGGGGAAAGGGCTGGCATAAGAACTGTAGAACGTTGGCTCACACTGCTTAAGAAAAGAGGGAACAGGCAGCGCGAGCATCTGACTGGCAGTCCCCAACAGCTTTCGGATTGCTTTTTTGAAAAGTTTCCACGCCACGTCCGCACGTGGACCTGTCATACCAAAGCTAGCCGTTGTGGGCCCGGGGCGGGGCCGGCCACGCCGTCCCCGTGGGCGAGAGGCGCAGTCTGGGCCCCCAGCTGACACGCGGGGCGCCCGTAGGAAGCCGCCATTCAGGCTGGGAGGCTCACGCCGAGGAGCAACGACCCCACACTGAGACTCTTGGTGGGCTCCCGCAGGCCCAAACCCAGGCAGGCCTCCTGGAGAGGGCCTCTGGGAGGACCCGGGCGAGGGGCCCTCCCCGGACCCGGACGGCGGCCTCCGGGGTCCCGATCGCCGCGCAGGCCCCGCGCGGAGCAAGGGTGCCGCCAGCCGCCCACGAGAGCCGCGCGATCCCGCCTCGGCCGTGGGCAGCGCGCCCGCACCTCCACGTCGATGTCCAGAAAGCCGCCCTCGGCCACTTCGAAGATGAGGCCCATCTTGGTGCCCGAGGTGACCCGCTCGAAGAAGCACTCCTCGGCATGCGCGTCGATGCTAACGAAGTAGCCAGACGCCGTGGCCAGGAGCGCGGCCAGGAGCACCAGCAGCTCAGCGAGGGTCACCATGGTGGCGCTGGGGCCGAGGCCACAATCGGGAGTGCGGCCTCCGGAGCCGCCGCCGCCGCCACCGCTGCCGCTCCAGCCGCTGCCGCCTCAGCTCCGCCCCTTCCGGCTGCACCACCCGAGGAGGCTGATGCGGGGCCCTCGGATTGGCGGGCGCCGCGAGCTGCCACGTAACGGACGCACGGCGGCCGCCGAGGGACACGGCGCCTCCGCGCGAGCGCGCCTCGACGGCAGCCCCGGAGGGCCAAACATGATTGCCCGGCTCGCCTAACTATCACGTGGCGCACCCCGGAAGGCGTTGCACGGAGAAGCATTCCGCTTTCGAGACAAAGTCCTCTTCAGAAGGTCCACGGAGGTGGCGAAAAGATTCGAAGGCGGCCTTAGGGGTGGAAAGAATGAAAAGTAGGGGCTGAGGCAAAGGGTTTAAGGCTTCTGTACTTCATTCACCCCTTATACAAAAAAAAAAAAATCCTCCTTCACTCAGGGGAAGGTAAAAAACCCTCCCTGGTATTGAGTAGATTCAGACTCATAGCGACCCGACATATCTGATTCATCTTTACAGAAGTAAATAGCCTAAGGTGACCAGACGTCCCGCTTTTGGCGGGACAGTTCGATTTTTGGCGTTTTAAAAAAGTCCCGATTTTTGGAAAGAATGCATGACAAGCTAGGGAACGGTCTATTTGGTCCATATAGACCAAATTTTTAATCACGAACACCATTCCCCCCAGCCCCCCTCAATGGTGTCCCGCTTTAAATCTGGTCACCTTAATTAATAGCCTCATCTTTCTTCTGTGGGGCAGCTGCTAGGTTTGAGCCACCTACCTTGTGGTTAGAAGTCCAACGTTTACCCAACAGCACCATGGGGGACGTTAAGAGACCTGTTTATATTGGAAAGAGCTAGAGGGGAACCTCCTGGGATGCTGGAAATGTACTGATTTCCTCTGGGTGGTAGGCACATGAGTGTTTTAAAAATTGGGGGGTGGGGGGGGCGGGGATTGTGTATCCTGAGCAAATAATTCAAGAAAGTAGACTTTTTGAAGAAGAATGATGTAGCTATAGCATCAGGATTGGAGAGAGACATGTTAAAAATGTGTGATATGTGGATGACACAACTTCACCTGCTGAGAGGGCTTGAAGAACTTTACTGATGAAGATCAAACCCTGCAGCTTGCCAGATACGGGACACGTCAACGTCAAGAGAACAGAAATCCTCACAACTGGACCGAGACGCAACGTCACGATAAACGGGGAAAAAGGTTGCCATGTCAAGGATTTCATTTTACTGTATAGCTAGAATGCGCCTTAGAAGGAACGGTGGTGAGATTTTGGACACGCACTAAGGAAGGACGTGTCATCAGGAGGACCAGTCCCTGGAGGACACCATGCTTGCTTGCTTTTTTGTCTTTTTTTAATCCTTTCATTGGGGGCTCTGACGGCAATTATAACATTCCATACATCGATTGTATCCAGCATATTTTCATGCTCTCTAAAGTAACCAGGCAACAAAAATGGAAACCCTCGGTGTGATAGATTGACACACGGCCACAGTGGGCTCCCACATAGCAAGGAGTTGATGACAGAGCAGGACTGGGCGTGGCTCATTCTGCGACACAACCAAGTTGTAACTGACTTGATGGCACCTAACAACAAGAACACAAAAAGACGAATGACCTTTGCTTTACTTATATAATATCCGGACTGATAAATCCACCCAAGTTAGAATGTGCCCACTTCTTCAAAGGCTGCCTACCAGAGCACATCCCCTTAGGCTTGCCAGCTGCTAGGATTGGGTCTTCCTCCCTTCGCCTCCTAACAACTTCATACTTACTCCTCAAAACGCAGTTCAAAGGCCACTTCCCCGAAATACTTCCAGACATCCTTAGGCTGAAAAGCAGTCCCTTCCTCCATGCTTCCAACCTGGATTTGTGTCTACTTGTTGGATGGCATTCATCGTGGTGAGTTAGGGTTAGCCGAATAGAAGCTCACAAGACCCAAAGCTTGGCTGATGCATGCTGTGCTCTGAGCCCCAGCATAGGAAGACCACAAAAGCTTCATTCATGTTGCACGCTGCCATTGAGATTCTAATTCATGTTGACCCTCTGTATGTCAGAGGGGTCAACATGTGCTCCTATGGGTTTGTTTTTATTGGTATTGTTTAGCTTGGTGGTGAAGGAGGGGAAGATGGACAGAGCAGATAATCAGCATTACACTCAACAGTTCATACACACTTTGTTTCAACTCAGTCCATTGCCACCCCCTGAGACACACCATGATTTATCCCATGTCATCCGCGTCCTGTTTTCATCCTGCCTTCTTTCCCAACTCTCTGTACTTTATCCTTCATCAAATGCTGTCTTTTTCAATTTTAAACAGTTGACTGTTCTAACGCAAGGGGGAGTTCAGTTCCAAGCCTGAAAGGTGACCTAGTGTTGTGGGGGTTCCATCACTCTCTAGCCAGCCAGTAAACTTGGTCTCTTATTGTTGGGGGGTGGGGTCCGTTCCACATTTTTCTCTCACTCTATCCAGGACCATCTAAGCCGATCCTTTTCAAGGGCTGTTGATCGTGGTAGCTTGGCACCATCTAGTCCTGGTATCTGGGTGGTGGAGCCTGACGTTTGCGCACACAGGAGACCACTGGGCTAATTGTCTCCAAAGGTCTTTGTTTTCACCATTCTTCCCTCCCCGTGGGGAAAGACCAACCGCTGTGTTTAGATGGCTGCTCCAAAGCTGCTAGGACCCCAGTTGCTACTCACCAAACCCTACCCACTACCATCCAGTCCACTCTGACTCCAGCCACCTTATTGGAACCGGGTAGAACTGTCCCTGTGGGTTTCCGAGGCTGTCAATCCTTATGGGAGCAAAAAGCTTCACCTTTCTCCCAAGAAGAGGTTGGTGACTTCCCACCGGTGACCTGGTGGTTCACAGCCCAAGGCATAACCCACCTCCTACCCACCCACCCCCACCACCCCCAGGCTCTTTCCATAGACAGCAAAGGGCTATGTAAATTGAAGGGGTTCTTTCTCTTATGATCAAGCGGCAGTAGGGGGCAGTGGTGGTCCAGTAACCAGCATCTGACCTCAGGTGTTAAGAAGCAGGTGGGGCAGCAGCACAGGTCGTTTTCCTGACTGTGAGGATGGGCTACTCTTGCTGTGGTCCTTGTTCCTGCACCCCTACCTTCCAGACCGGGACAGGTAGACTGAGAAGTCCAGGCCAAGTCCCTGCTCTCTTGGGCAAGCCAATGCCCTCGGTGCTATTCTGGGAGCCGTCACAGAATGGAAACAGCCTAGACCTTGCTCCTCCAGCCATCCTGCACAATGCATCGACCCTGGTGGCAGAGGGGGTAACCCCATTGAGCTGCTAACCACAAGATCGGCTGTTCAAATGCACCAACCACTCCAGGGAAGAAAGATGGAGCTTTCTGCTTCCACAAAGCTTTACAGCCTTTTGGGAAAGGCTGTAAGCACACGGTCACTGTCAGCACAAGGAATATTATCAATGACACTGAATTAGACAGGTAGTTGTGGAATCGGAGAATGTTCTGTTATGTATATTTTTACCACAATTAGAATAATATAATTACATGACTAACAATCACTACAAGAAAGAAAATGTCCTAGAACTGACTATGATGACAATTGTACAACTCTTCTTGATAGGGTTGAATCATTGAATTGTATGACATGAAGACAATGTGCTGATGAAATCCAAACCTACTCCTATTAATTCTACCTTATAACCCCCTTAGAGAACACATTAAAACTGCCGCACTTGGTTTCTATGGCTGTAATCCGACCAGCCAACCAGAAGAGATCCATATTTATGCCCATTCCAAAGAAATTTGAGGCAACAACATGCAGAAATTACCAAATCATTAATATGGTACATAGGTAAAATGTTGCGGAAGATCATTCAAATCAGTTGCAGCAGCATATTGACAGGGACTGCCAGAGATTCAGGCTAGATTCAGAAGAGGACGTGGAATGAGAGAGATCGCTACAAACCTCAGATGGATCTTGGCTGATAGCAAAGAATAACAGGGGATGTTGTGATTTATTGACTATGCAAAAACATTTAACACTGTGGATCATAAGCAAGCCATGGAAACATTGCAAAGAATGGGAAATAACAGCATATTTCATGGTGCTCATGTGGAACCTGTATATAAACAGAGGCAGTGTTTTGAACAGGACAAGGGGATATAGCATCCAGTTGATGCTGCCTCATGGCGCTCCTGTAGGAAAGACTAGGACACCCCTCCCTGGAGGGTGTGCAGACTAATTTGTATGGGAGCAGACTCCCTCATTTGTATGCGAGAAAGACTCTCATCTCTTTCTCCTGAGGAGCGGCTGGTGGGTTCAGACTCACCTCCCACCTCTTGCAGTAAGCAGCAAATGCTTTAAACACTGGGTCTGTCTTTAGGGCTGCTTTAAAGGAGGTAAAAGTTGCTGCAAATTGATCTGCGTTTCCACAAGAAAAGTACTGTTTTTGCCTGTGCACGGGGACCCCAGTGCCAGAGAAGAACCACAACCTGAACACTTTGTAGCTGGTGTGTCTTCTGCCCGAGACTTCTTGCCCCTCTTCAGCTCAAAGCAAGGACCAATCTGACTTAAGCTCTCCCGAGATGACCAAGCAGCTTGACCATGACCTGGAGACCATGGAGAACAAAGCAGCATCCACGCTCGCCAACCTTACCAAATACCTCTCAGCCCTGCAAGGTTTCAGGCCGTGCAGGTGGAGAGCAAACAAATCAGCAAGAACTAGCCCCAGCAGCGACTGCAAATACATTTTAACATAATGGAAGTTTCCCACAAATGCTTGGAAGCCCCCTTGTATGTCTATCACAGAACTTTTGCCTGTTCAGTTATTTACAGGTTTAAGCCTTATTGACAGCAATTAAAAGAATATGTTTGCAAGCTAACATTCCATGATCCATGTAGTTTTTCCATCCCTGCTATCCTCCAACCCCCACTTTCTGTATACTGACCCTAGTAACCGCTAATAAACTTTGATATCTACAAAAAA